CGTGACTCGTGCCAAAGGCCACGTGTCCGTCATCATCAAAGTGTCTCAGCTCGGGAACTTAGGTATGAGAAGGAAATGTCATGAATTGAGCACTGCACTCACCCGATCAAAGATCAGCCTCTACTAATTATGATGTGATTTTTATGTACATTATATGATCTTGTTCCGATTATTATGCTATCGTTACTATGTGATGTCAAACAAATATAGACTAATTCACAAAAAGTTGAAACGCTTTGATTTCTTGTTTGTTTGAAAATTATTTTGAATATGTCCACTCAAAAAAAGTGATCTCATATGTACATTTATTCAAACCATCCCAACTTAAGTGAAAAGCCTCTATCCATAGGCATTCAAGAGATATATCAACTAAGCACTTAGTCTCATGGTAATCATGCTTGACATGGCAACAATCACACGCATGCAATATGCTAAAGCAAAAACCGCTCACCTAATACTCTGAGGTAAGCCAAGAAAAACAACAATGAGTAAAAAAAATGCATGATCCTAAACAATGCATCATAACTAATGCAACAGATACAACGTGCAATTAATAGGCTCGGCTACTAGCATGGCATGTGAATCAATTCAAAGCAAGGGATAGCACATGTATTCAATTAAGGAATTTGAAATTGACATTGGTTAGTATGATGAACAGAGCCGTTATGCATGTAAAAACGGATACAAGTCATGGCAATGAAAATGTAAAACATGAATGTAACATTCAACCATCGTAAGCGGGGAAATAAAATGGAGAAAGAAATGGGGGTTGGAAGACATACACACATTATTACATATTTGCCCTCATGCAGGAGGGTCCGAATGTCCAAACGCCTAAATCAACTAACTATTACAAACCGAATGAATTAGCAAGCTAGATTAACTGATAATTACAAGTTCAAATGAATCTAAGTAACTAATTACAACACACTACTATCAAAACATTAATATCACGAGCCGCGGAGGACGAGGAATTGCATATGCATGAACATGAATTTCTACCCGAAAAACCCCTCTGTTTTGCTACCAGAATTGTTCTGTTTTCTCCCCAGCCTTTGCTCTGTTCTTCCACGAAAATGGCATTGCTTGGTCAAAAAAAGGTAGCCGGTCGGCCAGATGGTCAGGTGGCTGGCCTGCCACTATTTTGGGGGTCTGCCTTACTGCAATAAAAAGAAAATAGAGCACAAAAGGTGGCCGGTCTGAAGTGGTAAAGTGGTGGAGTTTGGTGTGGGTTGTGCCTAAGAATATAACTCAGCTTTTGGATTGGTGGAGTGGTTATAAATTTAAGAAAATGCTTAAGTGTACGTGGAATGCAGTACGATCTGTGGTCATGTGGTATGTGTGGAAGGCTAGAAATGAAATCAAGTTTGTTGGTTCAGATGTTAACTGGTGTGGTGCCTGTGAGTCCATTAAGTTGCACATTGCTTTTTTGGTTAAGTATCATACTAAGGGGGTTGCTTTTTCAATTAATGATTTGCTTTATAATTTGAAATCTATTAGGGGGCTTTAAGGTGTGGTTGATACTGTCTACGTCTTTGTGTTAATGCTGTCTATCTCTTGGTTTGTTGCTGCTCTATGCTGTTATACTGTTGTGTTGTTTAGCTACTGCTGCTGCTGCTGCTGCTGCTGTGTTGTTATATGATGTATTGGCCTGCTTTGGTTTTCTGCTGGTTGGTTTCTCACCAACTAGCTTTTGGCTAGTGCTAGCACATGATTGGGTGGCTTTCTTATGCCAACCTGGTTGGGATGAGTAAGGTTTACTATGATACTATTAGCACTGCTTTTGTTTATCTTTATCTTTATTGATGTAAGATGTAGAGATTTTTTCCTTGGTTCTAATTCAATAAAGTGTTATTTTTGCTGATTAAAAAAAAAAGTAATTCATTAATAAGAAAATTTTAACAAATTTCCATAATTTTTAAGGTGAATGGTTAGGGTTAGGGATCCTTATGAACTTGAGTGATTCGTTAAGATCAACCGACCGATTCAATACACTCACATTTAAGCAATTTTGATAGTATGAGAAGCTGGGTGCGAATAATTTTTTTTTAAAATTCCCTTATATTTGGACGGATGGCGAATGATAGGTCACCCAACCTAAGCCGATCCTCCAACCCTCTTTAAGAAAATGATATTATGTTTTTATACTTTGTATGTTGAAAAAATACATTTTACTTAGTAATAATACTAGTTATTTATAAAATTTGAAATTTTGACCTTTATTTTAATTATAAAAAATGAAGAATAAGTCTTTTAGATTCAAATAAAGTCCAAAATAGTAAAAAATTACTCTAAAATAAAAAATAAAACATAAAATAGTAAAATCCAAATCGCCAAATCTATTCGCATCCACCCGCCAATCCGTATGGTCCACTCAATCCGCATCCGCTAACTAAGCTGACGAATGCAGATTGAATTTTTCAAATCTGCCTAAATTCAAATGGATGATAGATGAAAGGTAATCCGACCCAATCCGATATATGAGTACCTAGTTAGAGTGTCTCCAACGATTTGCCATTGGAGCTGCCATTGCTATAATATAACAACAGTTGTGCTCTAATGATGAATATGGTAGCTATCAAAGTTGACAAATGTTAAAACTTGTGCCAAATTTGATATAAGTTTTGGCAGCTGTCATATTCATTAACTCAGCTAAAACCAACCATTTCTCTCCCTATGTCCTTCCCTTCCTCCTAGCAAAACAAATAAATTTTTACAGTATCGTCATTTTTGCAGAACTAAATACAGAAACTGGTGTGTTGGGGAACACACCAATTTCTGTATTTGGTTCTATCAAAATGACATTTGACCATTGGAACACATTGCTATAATTCTACTATTTTGTACTATTCATTATCAAATTATTATTATAATAATAATAATAATAATATTATAACATTTGTCATTGAAGATCCTCTCGGAATTGTCATATTATTCAGAAGATTTAAATTTTAATTCCTAAGATCTCTAGTCAGTTACCCACATCATATTAAGAAACAAATGGGATTGTCCTATTATTGAAAAGATTTAAGTTTTAATTCCTAGAATCTCTATTCAATTACCCACATCATATTAAGAAACAAATGGGAACTCGCTGGACAAAAATAAAAACAAAAAATTTGAATCTAGCAGTTATACCATGCCATCAGTATTTTTATTTTTAATAATTTGTTATTATTTATTCTATTATGTTTATGTGGTAAGATATTCATTGAAAATGGGGTCCACCCGTCATAAGTAAGTTTGATTGGTGATTTCAAGTTATCAATATCATCATAATACTGAAATTTTATTCAAGTCCCAAGTTCATGATGGACTAATAGTTTTATGGGATTTTTTTTGGAAAAATTACAAACCATAGACATTTTTCCAAAATAATTATATATTCACAAAAAAAAAATTAATTTAATTATTAAAATTTGTAAAATTTACCATTAATTTGAAAATTAGTTTTTTCAAACTTGCACTGATTTGTTATTTTTCCTATTTTGTTATATTCACTGTGAAAATATTGTAGATTAAGTCTAAAAAAAATAAAAAAATAAAAAAACAAAGATGAATTTCTAATCACTGTATAAATGGAATAATAATTACAAATTAATAATAAATTTTATCGATATTAATAATTAACATTATAAACTTTTCCACACATGAAATAATTTTTTATAATTACCACCTGCAGTTAATTTTCCCAAAAACAAAAATATTACGTCTAAGCTATCATCCCTTGAGCTATCATCCCTTGAATGAAATACCATATTATCTAGTTAAAAAGTGATATATGTGCATAAACAAGTTCAAGGAAGTGGCAGGTTGTTACTTTTTATTTTGTTTTAAATTTTTTGTTTCATTAAATCTAGATTTTTGGATCCTATTTGATGAAATGTATCAAACAACATCTAAATTCAATATAAAGTAGAGCTAAATAAGTCATAAATACATGTATGGCTGTGATATGACCAAAATCATTAACCAAAATTATATAAGACTAATCATATTTACAAACATCATTGCTCGCATATAATTTGTTCTATTTTTTTTTTTTAAATAAAAGAAACCACATAAATTTCCAATCACACACTACATTGAACAATATAATTTACGGGATATAGTAAACCCTCAAAATATTTGTAAGCACAACATCAACAAGGCCAATGGCCTTTAATTCACTAATTGTAAAATTCATGACACATTTTAAATTTTTAGCAGTTGCAAAATAATTCAAATCTTAATTTTGTAAATTATGAACCAAATACAAATCACAAACAGATCAGGTAATCTAATGTTTTCAAACTTTTATTATTTATCTACTCATGTCAAACCTATTATCACACAGAGTTGCATACATTCTATCATGTATCAAAAATCACAATACACTTAACAGGTACAAAATTTATAACACATTTATTCTCATAAATCTTTATTTCCGTTTAATTACATTGAGATCCAAATACTAATATTCAATAGTCAATAGTCACATGCTATCACTTACATATAATAACGGTAAATCAAAGATTAAGCAATAAATTAAATATGCAACTATTTCACGTACTACTTTAGCGACAAATTCAAAATGATATTTGATAACAATTATATTCCATTTCAAGTTATTTTAATTTATAATCCTTGACTTTACAATTATTTAACATTAACATTGCAATACAATATCCTCAATATTAACCACCAATGACTAAAATCTACCAATTGCATATACAATAAAAATTTCAAATATCCTATAATATTATTTATCATAGAACATATGACAAAATTATAAAATAAATAAAATACTCTTACGTTAAAAGTCCTTGCGATTTTTTATCCATTATACATCTTTAGAAAACACGGAAATATATATAAATGAAAATCTCATAACATTTAATCATTACATAATTATAATAATAAAACTTAATAATATCTTTGTAATCGAAATTTTTAAAATCAATATTAATGTTCATAACAGTCAAACAAATTAAATAGCAATAACACCTGTAACAGTAAAACAAATTAAATAGCAATAATTAATTTTATTTTTATTAAAATTCCAACAAATTAAACCCAAAATCATAAGCAAACATGCAAGTTCTTCGTAGCAACAAACGACAAAATATCAAAAAAATCCATGTCCGTAGTCGAGGGTATATCCATGTGGAGTCATGGACAGACGTAGCCCTGAAACCTTAACACCATCAGAAGTACCTCCAACACGCCCTCCCATGGAACTTGACCCAGCTTCAAAAAACCTCGAGGGGTTCGATTCCTCCATCTGAATCTTCTCGCTTTGCTTCGCAACATTCTTCTTTAGATCCTCCATTGCAACCTTCAATTGCTCGAGTTGCTGAAGTCCAAGCTCGCTAACCGGTGCTTCCCACCAACACTTGTCTCGGCTAGCTTTCCTCATCTTGTTAAGCTCTTCACCTCTTTTCTTCTCTGCTTCCAACATATCAAGTGCTTCAGTAAGTTGCAAGTTGAGCTTGCTAACATTTGCATTGCAGCGAGCCTTGACAAGTTGGAGCGAGCTTGAATTGGGTAGAGAGTTTCGAGAGAGAAAACAATCTACAACAGTGTCAACACAAGGGTGGCCAAAAGAGAAGGCCTTTTTGCCAGGAGAGAAAACGATGATAGCAATTTCAGCACCACATAGGGTGCAGAGTTCGCTTGCCTTCTTGAATAGCCCAGAACGACGCTTTGAGAAGGTAACCATTCGGTTGCTTTCATTTGACATTCTTGTCATCGCGATCTTCTGACGGCCTTTGCCCTTCCTTTCCATGGCTGCAAATGATGAGAAAAAAAGAAAAGAAAAATTATTAGAGAAATAGGAAATTGAAATGGTGATTATCTAATGAGAGAAACATGAGAGTATGAGTATATATAGGGTGACTCCATATATATATAAATTTAATTTACTCTCAAAGTTATTGCATATTTCCTTCCTTTTAGGTTTTAATACTATATTTTACATGCCATTTAATTTAATTACATGCTTTGGGGCAAGTTACTCTGTCTCAAAATTTCCATATTCTTTTACTCTCGTACGCTGACAACTACCCAATGTGATATAAATCTCAAAACAAAAATGAGTGTTGGAACTTAAAAGGATAGCGAAAGCATGCAATTTTGTTCTCTCAAAATTAGATTGTATTTGGGGCCTCATACATTGCCAAATTATTTATTTTTTTCCTTCTTTGTACAAATGCAATCAATCATAGTACTTAAATGTTTATCACTACTCCAAGTATATACTTAAATGCAATATAATTTTTTTTTGCAAATTAATATCATTGTAATACATCTATTATACCCAATATACTCGTATTTATGGCCATAAATTGCCAAATAGAATGTGATACAAAAGATGGTGAATTAACAGGAGGAAACAAATCGAACAATGTCAAGTCCGTAAACATTTCCACTTCATTTTCCTTAAGCTTCCTATATTGGAAAAAAGAAAATTAAGAGAAGAAAACCACACGCAGATATAAAAAGTGCATAAATTTATTATGGTTACATTATTACATATTACCATGTTAATTATTTTGTTTTACCGCATTTTAATCGTGTTTTTGTAGTTAAACCCTTTGTAATTTTGAGTCGTGCAATCACAAATAACTTGGCTATATATGGAAGTGACAGAAAGATAAAATACGAGAGAATAAACTCACGTGGGCAATAGTGGAGGGGACTCTAGAGTATATTAGGCATCGTATGGCAACTTGAAGTTTTAGTCAAAAAGTCAAAGTCATTATAAGTTATCATTATAAGTTGTCATATCACTCTCTTTATTTTTTTGTACATCTTTTTATAAAAAGTCAAAAAATTACTAAAATAACATGTTCCCAAACCAAGCCTAAAACAATGTGAGATAAATCTAACAAGCCAATTAAGGCTCTTTATTTAAGAAGGCCTCTAAATTTGTAACTCTTAATTATGTATACATTAGACCCATCGTATTTTAAAAACTTATGGAACCGATCATGTCATATTAAAATCCACATATAAATTTTAAAAAAATTATTATTGAAATATTTAGATGATATAGCAGCACTAAAAAAAAAAGAAATCAAATAAAATAAATAAAAAAAACTTCTTGGGGGCCTAATTTGCAAGGAACACTTCCATTTATCCCATTAGTGTTATTAGGAGTTTTAAATCCTTTAATATGTAATTGTAACCAACCTCATAAAATTTCATAATTTTATTTTAAAATTGTTTATATGAAATATTTTTCTATAAAGCTAAATAGTTCAATAGTTGAAATTTCATAATTTTATTTTAAAATTGTTTAGCTTTGTAAATTCTGTAATTGTGAGTGGTTTTGATCCCTATATCATGGAAAATTGATGTGGTTGAGTAATTATTTGATATTTTTTATGAATTGTGAAATTACAAAATTTAAAATAAAAAAAAAAATAGTTTCGAGAAATTATATAATTGTGATTCCTTTTTTCTATGGATTAAAATGTTTATTTCTAATGAAATTAAAGAGAACTTTAGGCAAATTATTATATTTTGCAAACTCGTACATTGCATTGCATTGCATTTTCTTATTGGTCCATTATTTTGGATGTTGGAATATTGGAAAGGGGGCAAACGGCATAATAATCCGGATAGTGAATCGGTTTTTGAAAAATGTGGAGTACTACATTGGTATTCGTGCGGGCAATCAATGTGTCCAATTGCCTTATCGCATGCTTGATGCTGGATTAATGTACGAAATGATGTTTTCAAGGTGCTCAATTGCCCTTCAGTACTTGATGCCAAAAAATGTGAAAAACTGTTTGTGTGCCCAATTGTCCTCCCATGCTTGATGACAGTAAATGTGGGGCTATTGTTATATATATATATATATATATGTATGTATATGTATATGTATGTATTTGGCTCACACTTTGGGATTCTAGTGCATGTTTACCGCCCCATTCTTGATAGTGGTTTGCTTTAATAAAGGTGTATTAATGTATCATTCTTTTGCATAGAACAAAGAGATGAATTTTGGACAGGATATTGCATTGGCATGATCATACTTATATTAAATGTTTATATATCTCGTTATATGCATTTATATTGGGTAATCTTGCTTATTCCTATCATAATTAACACTTTCAAGCCAAGATTATGGAGTTATACCTCGTTGACTAGATGATGGGGATATTTTGATGGAGCACGGACGCTCATTTTGATTTGCTACTCGTGCAATACAGCTACCGAGCTAAATTGTAAAGATAATATTCTATTTTGTGTAATCAAGACCCTTGTCTTGAAAGATGTAAGCTATTAAGGCATCCTTATTTGTATCTCTCTCTAGCTCTTTGAACTACTAGTATAATTATTTGTATTTTGGAAAGATATTAATGTATTGTGAACATGTAATTTGTTGGGAAATTCAAGCAGAAAGAAAAGTATTTTTAGATTCTATTTATATCTTTATTAAACACTAACTTCTATTATGAAATGGAAATAAGAATGAAAGGGTTGATAACTATAAATGATTAAAATATTGGGGTGTTACATTTTACTTTGGGAGGGGCAATACTTCGCCATAAAAGTTTGCAGTTGTTGCTGTCCTCGCCAAGAGCTAGATGGCAATGAGAGATAAGAGGTTTAAGAGTAAATAGACCATGTTTGTCAGCCAAACAATGGAGGGAGTCATTTTGACGATGGAGTGGCATGACACCTAAGAGTAAGTGAAGAAGATCCCTCAAGAGATCATATTCCCAAAGGCAAAGATGACGTCTAAATTGTAGATTCCAAATTGCTCACTCACTAGAGTGTGAGAAGATTTCAGCAACCGTATTATCTTTCTTGGTGGAAATGGAGAACAATCTGCGGAAAGCCTGAGAAAGAGGTCTAGTTAAGATCCATACATCAGACCAAAAGAATATGTCGATTCCTGAACCAAGCTTCAAAACCAGATTATTCAAGAGGAAGTCACTAAATCCGTCACCTCCCCAACCAACCTCACAGATTTCATTCCAAATCTTAGAGAAGGAAGATGCTTGCATATCATAGGGGAACCAACTATTGGCTCTTGACTTCAAATTTATTAACTATCACTTTTCTTCAGAGTGCATGCTTTTCAGAACCATAACGCCGCCACCATTTTGCATGCAAGGCATCATTTTTTAACTTTAGAGATTGAACAGCGAGCCGCCAAACCTTCTCCATAGTTATAGCTTTCCAACTTGCAAGGTGAATTCCTCTTTTTTCGCCACACCCACCCCAAAGGAACTTTCTCTGTAATTTTTCATGTTCAGAACAAACGCTGACTGGCATCTTATAAAGAGACATAAAATAGATTGGAACGTTGGCAAGAGATGCATTAAGCATAGTTAATCGTCCTTCCAAGGATAGATACTTCTGCTTCCAAGAGGATAAACGAGACACTTGAATCTATTGCTAATTGGTTGCCACACCAAGACTGACCTTTGATTGACTCCAATTGGAAGGCCTATGTAGGCTAGTGGAAGATTCGCAATTTTACAGCCAAGAAGCTCTGAGGCCTAATGCATGAAACTATTTTCAACTCCAATTCCACAAATGGGGCTATTGTTAAAGTTTACTTTTAACCCAGACATTAGCTCAAAACTGATTAGGATGTTCTTGACTTGATTGAGCTCCTCCAAATCAGCAGATGCAAACAGCAATGTGTAATTGGCAAATTGGAGGTGAGATTACCAACCTATTAGTACCAACAGCAACACCCTAAATCAAGAAGACAATTAAGTCCTTCGGCCACAATCAAGAAGAGAAAGGGGGAGAGAGGGTTCCCTTGTCGGAGGCCTTTGATCATGACAAATTTGGAGGAGGTAGAACCGTTTACAAGAACTAAGACTGAAGCTGAGGAGAGACACTCGCGTATCCAAGTACACCGCTTGAAGCTTGGAGTTGAAGATCATTTGGAAGAACAACTTGAGTGTTTGGCGCATCATTCATTTTCTACTTCTTGCCTCCATTTCTAAGTGTTTAAAGCTTCAAAGAGGTAGGGATTTTCTCACTTCTCCTTAGAACGACATGTTAAAATGATTTCAAGTTATTTTATTTTTATTTTATTTTTAAAAAAAATTTCATGAAGGTATGGCATGATTTGGTATGAAGAGCTATGTTACACAAACTTTTCAAAACAAATCAAATACCCGTGTCGGACACCCGTCACTCGGACAATGGTATGGGATATGTGTCGGATACTTTTCAACGGATACTTTTTATATAATTTTATATAACACTATTATTATATGTACATATTGTTGTATAATTGCTATAAATGTCATTTTGACACTGTAAGTCACATATAATATCATTTTATCTCACATATTAGATTAAAAATATAAAAATATGACATTTTTTCTGAGTCCACGTACCCTTAAATTTATGATTTGATGAGTCTGACCTCTAGATACATATCCGCATCTAACACTCGTATCCGAGTCCATGTAACATAGATGAAGAGCATGATTTAAGAGCATGATTTAAATGATTTGATATGAAAAGCATGATTTAAATTGTCTTGTTTAAATCTATGTGATACATGTTGTTTATGACACTTGAAACTAATTTTTGGGTTAGAGTTAAATTTAGGTATTTTAGACTTGAAAAGTTACTTAGTTGGTGGGTTTCATGAATTTGGAGTATAATGTGGCCATGTTTTATTTAAATTCGTGAAACACAATGTTGAATAAATTTGTGCTTAAATCTCAAAAAGTATTATCTATGCCATATTCTAAGATTCTTGATGTAAAGGATATGAATTTTTGGATTTTTTTTTTTGTGCTTAAATCTCAAAAAGTGTTATCTATGCCATATTCTATGATTCTTGATGTAAAGGATATGATTTTTTGGAATAACTTTAGATTTTTGTTAAATCTTGACAATATTGAAAATTTGGGAAAAATAATGTAGTTGGGGCTAATAAGGTGATTAAATATCGTAGTTATAAAGATGATTTGATTTGGTTGAGTTGTGCGATTGTTTTATATTTAGAAATTGAAAAACTTAAGTGACTCGTGATTAGATCAAGATTTAATTGTACCAATTCCCAAAAAGGTATGAGCAAGCTTGACTTGGAAGTCTCACAATCTGCGAGAATGAGTACAAGAAACATAAATGGAAACACCACATTTGTAAAGTGCTGTAATCAGAAACTATAGAAATACAAATGATAGGACTATGTCGATGAAGATCAGTATCAAACCACAAAGCTAATATTGCAACAGAAGGGGATTACAAAACAAGAAAGCTGACAAATGAGAGGGTTTTAATTTCTTTGTCTAAATGAGATGATCAAAATATATTCGTAGCATCACTACTAGCCCAGTCACAACTCAAATATTTGAAACAAGGAAACTGAGTACTAACTATAACTATTCATGGACTGAAAATGTTATATATTAAATAAATAAAATGAAAATGTTAAGTGCTGCAAAAGCTATATATTCAAAAACAAATCTAGGAAGCATTTCACTCTGTAACAAGTAGATAACAATTAAGAGTTGAGGAGTACTGATATCATATCCCCCATTGAAGCTAAAAAAACAATGCAATCTTCCTAAAAAAAACCTCCATAAGCAACCAAACAAATCTTTCATAACACAACCCAAGCATGACCAAAAGACTTTACATTCTATCGAAGAATTTGTAGGCAAGGGAGGAATAAGGGACTATTTGCATATTCAAATCAACGTGTCAAACAATTTAACTATATATAATGTTGCTTTTAGTGAGTGAAGAAAGGTATTAGGAAAAAAAAAAACTCTTTCTTTAGTAAAGTGTTTTTGAAAGCACATGAGTAGCGGAAATTTCTTACTAAAATAAACCAAAAATCAGACAGTAGAATCACAATTTTCCGAAAAATAGTTTACCATCAAGAAGGAATTAGTCTATTGTCATGTCAAACCACCCCTAACAGATAAGATTGGGAAAAAAATAAGAATAACCTGACAACTTTAATTGACATAATTAGACCACAACAAAACCCATTTGAAATGAAGAAAAACCCACTACCCCAATTGACATTATTATTATCAGTAGCCAAATTAAGTTGAAAGAGTATTCTTTTACCTGGATTCGTATCCTCACATCCTTGATCTTTGGTCCCATCCCATGTTAGCATGTTTGTTTAAATTTGTAACCTTCTCAAAAGAAAAAGAAAAATAAAAAATCAGCCTATAATAACTCTTTGGTAAAATAAAATAAAATAAAAAAAAAAAAAAAAAAAAAAAAACAGAAGATTTAAATCCATTTGCAATGCATGTTTTCCTTTCCGATAGTTAGGAACAAAAGAAGTGCTGAAATAATGTACTCATTGAAAAGGCTCATTATGTCTATATTAATTTCTAAAGTTCAAATAAGTTAAATTGTGAACTGCATTAATTTAGGGTTTTTGGGAAGTATAAATTTTAGTTAAAAGGAAAAAAAGTCATTACAAAAAGTCAACTAACTCTTCTCTCTGTCTTTTTTTTTTTTTTTTTTTTGCAAGTCTGTTCGTAGAAAAGTCAAAAAAACCCACTAAAAAAGCCAATTCCAAAAAAAAACCCTTAATGCACAAGACAGCCAAGAATACTAAGGTAGTACCTATATAGCTAGAAAGTGGTACCTACTACTTGTGATCTGGGCTCATTATCACTAATTAGTTGATGGAGATCTGAGGTTAACTTAACTTGTGTTGAAATTAGATCTTTGCTTGATAGATGAATTGGACACATTCTTTTTTGTTTTGTTTTGATTGGCACCAGGTGTCCAGATCAAAGCCCAACCAAATTGGACACATTCTATAACCATAGAATGGCAAATTACTTCTTGAGAAGTCAACATCCATTTTGTTTGGTGACACAATTAGAACAATACTATGCTTACCATTTTCATATCCCATTTGATTAGGCACTAGTCACTATCGTTGGTGTAATGAGTCTCGCATAAATGTTGTTAATATCCAAGGGCTATAAAATTGAAGCATGAAAATGTTTATGTCAACACCAAGGTGTGGTTGTTTTTTGAATGTGACCCATAAGACCTCATCCTCTATCTTCCCTTCTCTTCCACCCCAAATCACTCATAACCAAGCAAAACTCAAGTTTAAACAAAAAATTAAAAACAAAAAACCTCAATAAGTCAATGCCCAACTGATTTTTGCTCGAAGGCCCATCACATTGAATTTTGCAAATTAATAATTGTACTCTTTCACAAATTTTAGTTTAATAATTACCCACAGTAGAATGCAATAATGTCTCCACGATAAAAGTATAAAGAGTAGAAACTCAAATGAAGAAATCAAAGAAATTCACAAATTACAAACATTGAGAGCAAGGGAGCAACAATCTACAAATTAGGAAAAACTAACGATCATATGAAAAGAAAAAATTTAGATTCCACAATTTAATAAGACCAAAAGTCCTAATTATGCCAAATCCAGTTATTTCCAACACAACCAAATTTACCTTTTCTTTAACATGTCATGATCAATTCAAACACACAAAAATAATATAAAAAAAAAAAGCCCCAACATATTCGATGCAATCCAATTAAAATAAATAAGCTATAACTTTGGTTTCTTACTTGATCAACAGTTAAATTAGATATGGACAACTTCAAAATAAGGGAAACACTAAAATGGTGTTCTCCCTTTGAAGCATTGGAATCCATGCTAAAAGAAGGGAAAACACAAAAAAATAAAATAAAATTGTGCACAACTTATTTGAGCATATATATATATATATATATAGAGAGAGAGAGAGAGAGAGAGAGGGGGGTGAAAAAAAAATGAGTAAGACCTCTTATATACAGAGAGAGAGAGAGAGAGGTAGGTGAATAAAAAATGAGTAAGACCTCTCCATTTCCCTACCACCCAGATATAACCAAACACATGAAGCATTAATCAGATGTCGATGGCTTAGGAACAATAGCATAGATTGCATTAGTTTTGAACTTTGTATGGATGGGATTTTTCTTTTTTCTTTTTTTTTCCCCCTGTTTGGATGGTTATGAAGCTTTTCTTGGATAGATATGAAATTGGGGCTAACCAAGGTTACAATAAATTTTTGGGAAATGTTATTAAAGAGAGCTAAAAATCCTTTGTTTGAGTGTAGAGAAAACAAAAAACAAACTTATTTTTCCTACTAACCAAAAAAAAAGGCAAACAGGTGAAGAAGAAGAAGATGAAAGTGAAAACTAGACTAACATACATGGTCCTAATCCAAAAGTTCTGTTAGTGGGTAAATACATATAATTCCAGCCAGTCCGTATATATCAGTAAACCTACTAATGTGGTATCAGATTATTCCAACCAATTTGCTTCATATGTGGAAAAGTTCACTTAATTCATAACTAAAACGAACATAATATTCAGTTCTTACAGTCGAATTACTACATAGATATAGATTCGCATACACACAATATTCACAATATTCATCAAACTAACTTAATAACCAAATTCTACAGAGATAAACACAATACTCACCTCATCAAATCAAACGCATCAATATTAGCTGTTGAATCCAAAGACCTTCAAAACCCTATAATATTTTCCATAAATCCCAATCAGTATACCAACACCAAAAAAAAAAAAAGATTATCAAAACAGCAATAAGTCATTTACATACATATAAAGCTTTAAAGAGTCAAAACTTTGCAAAAGGCCTATGCGGGTGTAGGAGCCAGTGTGAAGCAATTGTTCCGTGGGTGTATGAGGATGAATCATTCTGTAACAGTATTGTTTTTACAAACGTTCCATGTGTGTAGTTTCTTTATGAATAAATCACGAATACAACTACATTTGAGTGTTAGCCCCAAAAAAATAAAAAATAGAAAATAAAAATTGTAGTTAGTTTACAAAATTTGAATCTCATTCCTTCAAGAAAACTAGAAATGAACATTTGTCACATACTATTTTTCAAGAATTTATTGGGACACCATTATTAGTAGAAATTACCTCCCTCGGACCCTTTCCCCCCCACAGATTAAATGCATATGTTTTGACATAGTTGAAGTTTAGATTTCAATCTAAAAAATGGCCAACCAAACAAGCTCCCCATTTTTCAATGTTTTCCCAAGGTGGGAGGATCAACAACGTCAGTATTGCTATCAGGTGGAAAATACCTTAGTTTCACAGCAGATCTCTGATTTGTAGCTACCACCGACGCCCAGGTCTTCTTCTCGGGCACAACTGGGTTCGCCACTGGGACAGAGTTGGCAGCATCATTACACTCCCCTTGCTCGCTTTGATTTACCA